CAAAGAAGTAAGGGAACTAAAGTACTCCCTTAGTAGGGCCACGATAGATCAGCAAAATGGTCTTAATGATACCATAATTACATTTAAAAATAGAGTAAATATATAGAGTATATATTAATTTTCTCAGTTTCAAGAGCTTCTTTATTCTTAGCACTCTCTGCTAAGACTGCTTCTGCCAGTCATTTGATTGGCTGTAACATCCTAGCTCTGTACCTGTGAGTGCTTGTTAGTTATGATTCATCCTTTCAAATGGATATAATCCTGGCATTCCTTGTTTCCCTGGGCTATGTCAAACAAAATATGCCCCAGTTTTCTTACAGCTAACTTCACAAAAATTTTTTCTCGTGCCAGTGCAAGAGAAAATTCAAGTGTGTGTTACTCCCTTTTTTTGCATGTCACAGTGTGTCTTTTCATCCATACTTGTTTCAAAGGACTCTGGGCACACCACCAGGCACAGGTTTCCCCCAGGGCCTGTGTAACACCTGGCAATCCCAAGAGGATCACAGGTGGCTTTTGGTGCCTGGATGTGAGCAACTGACCTGAGATCAAGAAATCCAAAGAGGGTGAGGCAGGAGTTTGGGACCCTCTCTGCCACTGTACCTGTAGGTTGTTCTTTGAGCTTCTAGCCAAGCTGATAGACTTTGGTTCGAAAATCTCAAAAGAGCACTTTGTGTGGCTTTCTGTTTCCTGAGGCAGGAACATCCCCATTGGAAATGTTCCTGTCAGGGCTTGTTCTCTGGTGACCTGTTTTGGGCAGGTGACCTGTTTTTTTGATTATGGAGTGTAAGTTTTTCAATTCAAAACCTGATTTCAAGCATTTGGCTCCTCAAAATAGACTCACTCGGGCTCCTCAGCCCCTGGCCAGCACGGGGGCATTGGCCACTCAGGACAGTGGGTGGGACAGACATCCCTCAGTCGGGAGGCAAGGAAAGACAACACCACAAAGGAACCACAAAGGAATCACTTGTCTGAAGCTGTTCACACCCCACCCTTGGCTCCATGATGGGGCTGGTTCAAGTGAACCTCAAACAATGGTTAAACCACAGCAGAAAACAAGGTGAGAGGCAGAGCAGGGGCGAGCAGAGCAGGGGCGGTGGTATGAGGGGCTTGGCTGTGGGGGGTTGTGCTACCACACCAGGGGCAGCTCAGCAAAGGGCTCTGCACTACCAAGGTGTTGGAAATATAAGTTGTGTTTGTTGCATTTAACTCTTTTCCTGTTCCCTTCAGGTTCTTTCCTTGGTCCTAATAGCAGCAATTCTTTATCCTGATTTTGCCCAGGCTTGTGCTGAGATGACCCTCAAAGTTTTGTCTTTAATAGAATGGTAACAGTTTTTCCAGATTTGTGGAGTTTCCATGGGATTCCAGTATATATTACAAAAGTCTGAGTGCTCCATGGCTTCTGAACAACCCATGCTTGTAGTTTTTAAAGTGCTTGTTGCCTATAGAAATTAATACCATTTCCACAGGTCTGGAAAAAACATTCCCAGCCTTATTTCTACTTAAGAAAAAAAACTATCAGTGCTTGCCTTTCTGCATCAGCATTTCAAGGAAACCAAATCAACCAACCCACTCTTCAAACTCCTCAGAAAACAAATGAAAGGTTTTTGGTGTGTCTGCCTTTTGTGTGTATTGACTACTACTTCCTTGCTCCTGACTCTGCTGACTTTCTTCCTGGTTCCACTCAGCCCCTCCTTGGTCAGTTTTCCACTTGTCATAATTGTTAATGTACTGGTTGTATCTTCTATTAATGATATATTATTTAATTGCTATCTTTAACAAGCCAGGGAACTGCAGTGAGCTGTTAGCCAGCTGCTTCTTTTCCTAATTAGTGACACAGCCTTTTGGCTTGCAAATAAGGCTGTCAAAGAACATTCAGGTTGGCATCCAGGCTTTGGGTGCCTTTGCTACTGTCTCCCAGTGAGGGGGAAATCACCCCCCTGGGAAATCACCAGTGTGGGCTGCAGGTGCCTGGGCAAGTGGAGGAACCTTCAGCAGAGCCTGGCAGCAAAGCACTGAGGCTTCCACAATTAAAGAAACCAAGGAAGAGGGGGACATCCTAGAGGAAGGTGGGATTTGCTCGTCTGCATGAGCTAGAGCTGGTAACTGCTCCTGGCTCTTCCTCACAGCAGCTGGAATTGGGTGTATTTATCCTCCAGTGCCCTGAACGTCTCTGGTACTCAACGTACAGTTTCATAGTGAGTGGTTGAGGAACATTAGGTAGATGGAGAAAATAAGGAAACAAATCAAATCATGAGCAGATTGCTGGCTATGCGGCGTGACAGCTTGTTACTGCAAGGAGTTGCCCAACGCCAGTCCAGCTGCACGATGAACTAAGATGAGGAATGAGTCAGCTTTTCCTAAAAGCATCCAGGGAGAGTAAACTAATTGGACCAAATATCCTGGAGATATCTGGGCCAGCAGACACGCCACCTTCTCAGGCAGGTATAGACAGAGGGCAGAGACACCCAACAGCACTTCTGCCATGAAGTCCATGGGGACAGAGGGTTGGTGCTGTAAAGTGGGATGGCCTGTGCCAGTGAACTGTTACCAAAGCAGTTCCCATGTCCCTAGTTTAATTTAACTGGGCTGAATCATTCACAGAGCAGTGGGAGAAGCAGCCATAAGCCCTCTCCATCCCTGCTGCTGGCCAGTGCCAGCCCTGCCAGGGAGCAGCAGGTGGAGAAGCTGGACAGGGCAGTGAGGATGGGGAGAGGCCCAGCCCAGGCATCGTCCCTGCTGGAGCAGCATCACATTCACACATCCCAGCAGGAAGGGAAAGGGAGCAGGGCTCCTGCTGGGACTCACACATCAGAAGAGGCACCAGGAAACACATTTTATTTTTTCAGTTCCAACAGCCCCTCTTTTGCCTCGAGGTCTGGTGGGGCGTTTTGGGGCAGTGCAGTAACCACCTTGCTGAAAAACATGAAGGCATTATCAGACGTTTAACAAACATCAGTGCTTTAATATAAAAACAAACAGGCATTAAAATGGATTTTGTAGACCTGCCCTCCCTTTCACTGTTGCAGACTTCAAGGTAAACGTGGCTTTCAACCACAGGAGGGACTGAGCCACCCACACCCCAGCACTACACAAAATGAGCTGAAGGCCAGGGAGCAGAAGAGAAAGTTAAAGTGCAGTAGAGCTGCAAATGACCGTGTCCCTCAGAACAAGGCTCCACCTCAGAACTGGCATCAAATAGACTAAACGTTCATTAAAAGGAAAATATTTTGAATTTTATTTTTTCACGTTATTATCAAGTACACAATTACAATAATGTCACACATCCCTATATGGTTCTATGTATTTTGTTTTTTTCTTTTGTCTTTTTTACAAAGTGTACAGAGGGAAGGACGTATACAATATTTAACAGGGTATTTTCTACAGAACAATAATTTATATTATGTCCTTGTAAAAATCTGTACCTTTTTTAAACATTAAACTGAAACATCCATTTTATAGCATTTGCTAAGCAAATTATTTAGGAATTAAAACTAGCCTGTAACTAATGTCATTAGTACATTAACAATAACTATAATTTCATTTTCTCTTTATACAGACAAATACATTTTACAAAATCCACTTGACCAAACCCTTAATTATTTAAAAAAAAAGTTTCAACATTGTGCTTTAAAAAAAAAAAAAGTGTTTATGATTCCAGGCTACGTAAGAGAAAGAAAATGCGTAAAATTGTGTTCTTTGTCTTTCAGCTTATTTAAAAAAATAAAGTTAAAATGGCTAAAATCCTCAGCAATGCTATGGGAATTTATGCAGATTTTGTACACTTCCCAGGTCTCCAGTTAGAAAATGCTTGAACATAAGAGGGGAAAAAAATAAGTCACAGGCGGGTACTTTGCAAGAAGCGAATGGGAAATCTCTGCTGGGTTTTACTGCATCTGATTTGGCATCAGTAGGCAACGGACAGCTACGGCCATGTAGGAAATCCACTGGCTTCAGCGGGGATTTCAAGGAAGGCACAATGCAGCACGGCCAGGTATTACACACTAAAGGGTCACGGCCCACTAGTAGCAATATTATACAAGAGCACAATGGGCAAGTCTGGGGACACTGTCAAGCAGGCATTGAAAGAAAAAAACATCATACGACACAGATAGTGACATGGCATTTGACTGTCCTGAACTGCACACTACAGACAAGTATTTCAGATCACAGTGAGACAGGAGGGGCAGGGCTCGGTAACAAAACAAAACACAAAATGCTTAGAGGACACACATCCGAAAGGAAACTTTTGTCCCTCTATCACCCCGAACTTGGGATCATCACTAAATTTTGATTTGAACTGGAAGTTCACCTGCCTAGAAACAAGAATTAACACTGTGCCAGGCTCTGAACCCTTTCCATTAGGGAATTGCTGGTTACAAATCTATCCTAATCTGGCAGGCAGCTGGGACCGAATTCTGCAATTCATCATCAAACAGTGGCTGGGGTGGGAATTTGAGCATGGGGAGCAGGGCCAGGTCCTAAAATCTGGCATGTAATTAAACAGTTTGGCTTTTTTGCTCCACAGTTGTTGTTAAAGTACATGACTTCATGCTTGGTACATTTATGCAGCAATTACCAAATGACATGGCGCTACTTCATAATAGTCTTCAGGTGCCAAAATTGCATATAATAATTGTAATATTCTCCCAGCTGTTTATAAACAGATTAGAAGAACTGGGTTAATTCTGGATACTGTACTAATTAATAAATAGCAGCTGAACACAGCTACTAATGGCTCAGGAAAAACATTCAATTTAGTAACAAAACTGCTTCTATCGTAAGTTACTTTTCTTATTAAGAATATCTACCTTACAACATCTCTACTCCTTATGAACACGTCTGCTCTGCTCCATTTCCCTCTTAAGCTCTCACTGTAAATACCTGCTTTCCAAAATCGAGGCACCTCTCGGTCTTAAATTTTATTCTAAAACAACTCACAATAAAAATGTGACTTGAACCACAAACTGTTTTTTAAAGAAATACCAACACACATAAAAGCATAAAGTTTGAGGTACATTTACCGGCACATACAGACAGTTGTGATCTAGTATTAACTCTGCAAATGGAACACGAGTATTTTACGTTTCCAACATTAAGACAGAAGTAAAGCGAAAAAAACCCAACTCATTTGTAACACACAAAACCTTTCAAAGAAGCACAGAACAATAAATGTACTATTTGAGTATACTTTTAAATTCATCCAAGAAAGATAACCTCCCCAAACCACTTTTTAAATATTTTTTCTCTCTGAAACCAGAATTAAAACACAAATATTTTTCTGCAACAAAGTGAGATTTGTAACTCCTCAAATAGAAAATAGTTAACCTGCCACAAAGTCTGTATAGTTAAAACAAGACAATCAGGTGGGCCCTAGTGCATTTACTGTCAACATGACAATTCCCCATTTTTTACACACCTCTGACAATTTTATTGAAATGTCATATTTTTAAAATTCATGACAAAACTGCATTAACATGGACACTGAGTATCAACGAGGTCAGTAAGATAAATAGATCTAAATAAACTATTACGATTGAAAAATTCAGTAAGAGACAGGGTTTACTTTATTAAATGCAACTTTATTGTTGCCATCTTTTCTTCATTTATTAAACAAACTGAATAGAATTCAGAACACGCTATTGAACAAAAGGTATAAAAGTCAACTAGAAGCAATAATCCTATTTTTATACAGCAACAAATCAAATGCACAGTATTTTTTTTTTGTTGGGTTTTTTGTTTTTTTTTTTTTTGGGTGTGATCGCAGGTGATTGGCTTTAAAATAAGCTAACTGCCTGAAGGGCAAATTTCCTTTATAATTCCAGCCATAAGTCTGTGAAAAGGACTTTAAGGCAGCCCAACATCTTTATGATGTCGCATAATGTGCTGGTTCTTCTCTGAAGGCCTTCGGAAACCTTTCTTGCAATACTCACACCGGTGAGGGTAGTCTTTTGTGTGAATGGAAATAACATGCCGTTTGAAGCCTGAGGCGTCTGTAGTGCTATACTCACAGTACTCACACTGATAAACTTTCCTGCCACTGTGTGTTTTCATGTGTTTTTTCAGCTCATTTTGCTGCCTGAAGCCCTTTCTACATCTCTTGCACCTGAAAGGAAGATCCTTTGTGTGAACTGAGAGTATGTGGCGACTCAGAATGAACGGATCTGCGATCTTAAAGTCACAATGTCTGCATTGGTGCAATTTTTTACCCTTGTGAGCCGCCACGTGTTTTTTCAGTTCCGAAGGCCTGTGAAAGCCTTTATCACACATATCACACTTATGAGGATAGTCTTTTGTGTGGACTGAAATTATGTGTCGTTTCAGATCACTCGAGTTTGAGCTCTTATGGTCACAATGCAAACACTGATGTGTTTTACTTTCCGGATGCATAAGCGTATGCTGCTGTAGCTCTTTGGTATCTGAAAAAGTCTGGAAACAAATATCGCACTTGAGTGGCGTTTCCTTACTGTGTTTAGTCTTTACGTGGGTTTTCAAGTTGGAGGAGTCGGCAGACCGGTACTCGCAGTATTGGCACTGGTAGGGCTTCTCACCAGTGTGGATCCGCATGTGCTTCTTGAGCTCCGAGGGATGGCGAAACCCTTTGCCACACTCCACGCAAATGTGAGGAAAGTTCTTGCTGTGGACAGCTAAAAGGTGGTGACTCAGTAACCCTTGCTCCGCCGTCTCATAATCGCAGAATTTGCACTTGTGCATTTTATTAACTCCTTTGTCCCTGTGCACCATCTTGTGAGTGAATAAAGTTCCTGCATGAGAAAAGGTTTTCCCACACTCATCGTATTCAATAAGCTTTTCTGTTTTGTTGGTCAGCTTATGACTCTCCAAGTGGTTATGTAAACTTATTTTTTTATTCGTAGTGTAATCACAGTCTGTGCATCTGTATTTCTTCTTAGTAAGAAGGTGCTCCGGGTGGTTTTTCATGTGCCTTTTCAAGAAACCTCTAGATTTAAATTTCTTTCCACAAATCATGCAGGGGTAGACTGTCAACGGATGACCATCAGGGCCAATGATTATTGCTGAAAAACAACAAAAAAACCCTTCATCAGTATTATACAACAACATTACACTTCAGTAAGTGTCAGACTGCAATGTTAACAATACGATGAACTGCTGAAGGAGATTGGACACAAATGCTTCACTATACAAATAAACAAGCTCGTTACTGGGTTAGGTAGAAGAAACTGAAGGAATTAGTACTTTCATTCATTTTTATTACTAAGAGAAAGGAAATACTGTTTTTTGATGGAGACAACCAACGCATCCACCCCGCCGTTCTTCAACCCAATTAATTCTATTTTCAAGAATTCTGAGTTTACACACTAAATATATGCAGAAACCAACACTGGTGCAAAGAACAGTGACCAGCTTGTTAAACTGAGTATTACCTAGTAAGCAAAACACATGATCTTCTTTGACTCCTCACAGATCTGTAGATAAAAGTTTAATCTGGTAGTTTAATCACCTACCGCTGACTACAATTCGCATGTCCCCAAACTAACACCTCCTTCTTGTGCCATCTGTCACAGTTACAAACTGAAGAGGTACCAAGCAGGACTCAATGAGAACATGTTTCACATAAAGATACCTCAGAGCTTTGGAACTTATTTGCACTCATCCATCAGCCTGATTTGTTTACCCTGAATTTGTCTAGGCATGTCAAAAAAGCTCTCTTTTCCAAAAATGTTTTATAAGGAGAGCTGACTAAGTAGTTGAAAATAGAAAAAGCCAACTTTAATTTACCCAATTTACTGACTCAGTGCTAAACAAAACAGAACTCCTACAGTTAAGTCAGAATTTGAAAAGAAACGTATAATATTATTTAAGTCAAGGCTACTAAAAAACTAGTTGTGTGCTTTTTTCAACTTTATCAAACCTAATAAATAATTCCAATAATAACACAGTACCAGCAGAAACCAAATAATGCCAAAGAGCACTTCTGTTCTCACAGATGCAAAGAAAAATGTAGGCAAGGACATCAAGGCAATTTACTTCATAATTAAACCAGAAAAGGGTATAGAAGTTACACTACCAAACATTAATATACAATGTTCAGACTTTCCAGTTACCTACTGAGCTGATAGAATGAAATGCATTGTTCTATAAATTTTCAATAAAAAGGGTTTTTAAAAAGCACTATTACCATACACCATTTCTCTAACATCTCCCTTAAAAATGTTACATTAAACATTAAAATTGGTGTGGCAAATTAAGTGTATAGGTTTTTAACCTTCTGATATGATAATGATTTTTTCCTGTGTCAGAGATGGTTTCCTTCAAAAGGCCCATCATAATCCAAACCATGTAATTAAAATTTTTAAAAATAAAATACGTACTCATTTATAATGTAAAAGTGTTGTCAGCAAAGTAATTGCCCAAATCACTGGTTTTACGGGACATTGCACACGCTATCAACAAAGTGCATCCGTTTATGGGCAAGTGCCTAGAGTACAGCCAGCCACCAGGTACTCACCTGTCTGATACTGCCTGGACTCAGGTCTCCTCTTTTTCTTTGGTTTTTGCTTGGCCAACCTCCCAAGTCCAGATGACTCATCTATGTGCAAAAGAGCACTTGCAGTGCCATTCCGACTTTCGATGCCATCGTTATTATTACCTACCAAGGTAAGTTAAAAAGTCACTTACCACCTCTACAGATAATTCCAGCACAAACTCAACAGTGGCAACAACAGAAATGATAAACTATTATCTGGACATTTAATCAAACTGTAATATTGTACAACATGAGCTGCAAAGTGTCTCAGTATGTAAATGACGAATTACGTTTGCTATTATGAGCCTGGAAATACTGGCCGTGTTAACCCAATTTTACAGGAGTTAATAGTTTTCCATTACACAGAGACTTCTCCTTTAAATGCAGCATTTTCTGCATGTCTTTGGTTGCTAATTATACCCAAAATGTTTAACATTGGTAAATAATAGCATGTCACAATATTTACTGTGCCTGATTTTCTTCTCAGGCCTGAAATACATTTGTGTGTGAGCTCCTGTTCACTTCTGGAGGTCTGAATTCACCTGACTGAAGTTTGTCACACACAAGTTTCTGAACTGGAACTGCAATCAAAGAATCCTTCTGAACAGCCCATAAAGTGGTACACAAAGTACACTACTTACTATTTGTACACCTGATGCTTTAGCACTTACAAATTCTTTCTAGTGGGAACAAAGAACATGCTCAGTGTTGTATAACAGAAAGAAGGAAACAATCTTTGCCTCACAGAGCTTTGTGTTTAATACACAAATGGTACCACTGTATGTAAAACAAACATGAAAATTACAAGCAAATACATCTATATATTTGAGAAGGTATTCATTGGACATCAGTTTAACACTGGTGATTTAAGAACATAAGTAAATTCTAATAATAAATTTTGTCGTTAAGTATTTACTTGAATCAATAAAAGGTAACAGTTCATTGTGAAAGCAAAGCACACAAATAAGATAGGAAGACTGAAATAGAAGAAACTGCAAGATGCTCAATAGCTGTTCCTTTTGTAGAGTGCAGAGAATTAATATTCATGACTAACGTAAGAAGACTGAGCCAGGCACAGGCATGTGCAGAGTCTGAAGGTTATGATCTAGATGTCAGCTCAAGTGTTGAGCAGCAAATGTGGCACCTTAAGAATGCTGAAAGCAAAAATCCATTTCACATCTTACATGTAGAAAGTACAGTTTACAACAGGTGCCTGAAGAGTCCTTCTAGATTTAACAGAGAACAGGCCCCAAACACTTTCTAATACTGGAATAAAACTGCAAAAACTTGCTGGAATATAAAGCACAGTGAGACCAAGCTTTGCTACAATAAAGCAACATAATAAATGTAGCATTTTAAGATGCCATTGCTATCAGCTCTAAACCCTCCATAAGCGGTGAAGAGTTCCAAGGAGTGCAGATGACAAACCTCTGCCGTTTTTCCTGCCTTCAGGCTTCATTTCTCCCCATCCCCACCATCTCTCACCCTGCATGGTACTATTTACTACCCAGCATGCAACTGTTTCCCACATTCTTAAATGCTCCTTTCAATTCCATCTTTCACCATTCTTAATACACTGTTCAACTTTCTCCTCCTCCTCCAAAATAATAGAATGTTCCAGCTACAGATATTGCTTCAAGTTCACTCAATTTCCTTTTTAATTCCCAGTCAACCTGGCATCTGACATTTGATCTCCACTGAAGCTGTGCTCACCTAAGGCCTAAAATAAGGCTTTGGGTGCACTACCATCCATGCCCCAAACAACTTTTAGCACAGGTTGCTCCATGAAATCTTGCCCTTCCTGACATATGTCCAAGATTCCAGCCCCCACTGCATTCTCAGCACTTCCCTGCCATTTAAATGTCTCCTGGCACCATCACCCCAATCCACATCACACAGCCATGTAAGTTTTGTCATTTACTTCACTATTTCTTTTGTTTTGTTTAGAAGGAGAAAAGGGCAATACAGAAACATTTTGGTCTTAAGACCAAAAATTTTGGTCTTAAGCTCACTGAAGTTTTGGAAATCAGTTTGTGCACTAGTTGGTGCTCAGATACCAACAATCAAGAAAAATGGTTCTGAATGCTGGAAATATTCTCAAAATTGTGCTATAATTTTAAGATGTCTCCCTCCAAGTTCTTTTTGTTCATCAATTATTTTCATTGGTGCAATCACATATTTATCTGATCCTTCTAGAAAGCACTTAAATCAAGCTTAGAGGTCAGTGCTGCTTTTCACTGTTACACTGAATCTTATATATTTCCATTTGCCTTCCCCCCCCCCAATAAAAATATTCAGTTGTATTGCCAAGCCAGTTCTTGCTATGTCTTAAAACCGTGAGGGACAGATGTATTTGAGATGCAATTTTTCAGCTGGAAGCTCATGTACTTCCCCTTTTACATCATGAAAATGTGAAGCTAAATGCCTGTTAAAACAGGAGCAAGAAGAAGCCTGCCTTATAGCCTCTCTCTTTCTCTCTTTTTAACGATTACTATGCCAAGAAACCATTCTTCAACTAAAACTTTAAAAACAAACACAAAAGCACAAATAGTCTACACTACCCTCTGAAAAACCAATCCCTGACACTTTGCTACAGACAGTGTCACCAGGAAGAATTCCTTCAGTATTACCTACCATAAGCTGCTGCCCAAGCTATGGGCATGAAAGTTTTAATTTCGGTGTCATCAATTTGCTGTTCATGGGCTGCTGCGGCATCCTCCTCTCCTACAATGACTTCCATATAAACCTCATCAGCTATTTCTGCAACATCTAAGAGGAAAAAAAGTCAAGAAAAAATTATTAGAAACACTGCCCTGCTGAAAATGAAAAGCCCTGCTCCCAAAGGAAAGCCACCTACTTACTTAAGTCTTCATCTTCGTGCTGAGAATCATTTACAGTCATGTAAACCATTTTCTCCCTTGGAATACGAATACTGCTGTTTTGATCGAGTAATCCAACTGCGTGGTCATTCTCTGGCTCACTCTCCACAATGTCTACTGTGCCCCCTAATTAGGAAGACCAGAGCAAAATATTTTAATTACAGTTTGTTCAAAATCTATGCTAAACCACAAAAAACTGAAAGTTTTCTCACTCTTTAATATCAGACCTACAGGTCTTTACAGACGACTTGAGAGAAATCACAGTCTCATCATGCAAAATTTCAAATGTCAGGTTGGAGTATTCTAAAACAAGTGTGTTTTACCTAAATCGTCTTCTCCAGGATCTGCTTTGAATATATAGACCTTGATGACTTCTGGACAAATGCCATCCACTTTACAAGAGCCACTTTCTGACTCTGCTTCCATGGTAATTTCAGCAGAACCTTCATGTTCTATCTTACCAGCATCATCCACTACAAAAACAAGTTATTACAATTACCCAGTCATATGCAGACATACATGAAAGACTTTATTAATTTATTACTCAAATTTGGAAGCAGTTTAAAATTAAAAAGTTGTGATAAAGAACCTACCCATAAATTTTTTTTTCATATCCTTGAAAACAATGTCAGTAAACACAAAAATAAATTCAAGCTGTTATCTTTTAGTTAAGGAGGAAGTGCAAGAATGCTGCAGTGATGTGACTAGAAGCATGAGTAACACACCAGACAATGCTAATTAGGAAACTGTGATCTTCAGCAAGATAATGGTAGGAAGAAAGTGCACATCAGTACTTACTCTGTGGAATAATTTCACTTATTCTCAGTTTTAATTGCTTTCTCCTTCACAACAAATAAGCTATTAATTTTTCTTTTCAAAAGCATTATCTGTTGCTCAACCCTGTCTCTAATGCAAGTGGTGCTACTGCTGCCTGTCAGACCTGGTTCCCAGCAAAGCCATGTGACTAATGCTTCTTCAGTTGCCTGGAGAGGAAACCTGAATGGAAACTACAGGAAGAAAACCCTCACGAGAAAACTTTTCTCAGGCACTCAACAGCTGAGGGATGGAGCAGCACCAAAGCACTGCCCTGGTGCTGCAGTGCTGGTGAAGCTGTTCATGGTGCCCGTGCTGAAAGGGGCTTGGACTTTCCGCTGCAGCCCCCTGTAACTCTCAGACTTTGTTCTCCTGCTTTCCGGAGGGCACCGACACCACGCTCCAGCCTGAACTGCTCTAACTTGCCTGGGCCTCCCCCACAAATGTGGCTAAAGGCCAGCTTTACAAGGAACACGGCTCTGATTTGAGACACACTGTACACAGGCACCAGTGTGCGCACACACCACCCATCTCACATTACCAACAATGGGTTTTCAAAAAAAGAATACTAAATATCCCTTCACAAAAACCAACTCCAGCATCTCAAGACCTTTAGAAAATCTCCCAATTTTGAGAAGCCCCATAAGTTTTTTGAGTGTCAAGATTATGAAAGTACTTTTAATGTGACTGCATACTTTTTTAATTTGTGACTTTATTGTTCAAAAAGTCACTCCTGACAGGGCTCCTCAGAGTCATGCATAACTTCAGTTCATGACAATAAGACATGAAATTTATACTAAAGGAAGTCTAAGAACTGTCCGATAAATGCTGTAGAATTTTTAACTACCATTCCTAGCACATATCAATTATTTAATAAAGTATGCTTATTTTACTAGTACTCATTAAACTATCCTCATAAATAAATCACACCTTTACTACTCAACAATTACAACTCTTAAATTTACTTTAATATATACTCTAAAAAAAAGGCTCAAAATGTTATTACTATTACTTTCCTGATGTGAAATTAATAAATTAGCCTTTAAATTAGACAAACTAGGATGTGTTGTCTCATGTATCAAACACAACTGTATTTAAGTACAATTTCTCAATCACCATCACTGCTCACAAAAAATATGAATAACATTAAATTATAAAGTACTACCATAAATTAGTCTTTCTCTTTCCTTACCAAAAGAGCAGCAGAAGAAAACAATAAATACTCTAATGCCAAGCTGACGATCAATGGGCATTGTACAGAATACTTCAAGCACTAAGGTGTTTAAAATATAACTTTGTGTCATGGGACAACATAATGTCTTGTAGCTGAAAGCCTAAAGTATTTAAAAAGTAAAAACCTTAAAATGTTCCTTTGTATCACATTAACACTGTAGCTCCACAGTACACATATTCAGTTATTAACAGATTTTCATGATTTGTTCATCATATCCAAGAAATACCAAATGTCCCTGGAACTCTGACAAAAAGAAAGCTTGCTTTTGTTCCTACACTACATTTATGTAGTTGCTCTCCTTTAACTTGGCCGTTTCCAGTGTCAGGCACGTGTATTTGGAAGGCTTTCAAATCAGTGTAGACTGACTTTACACTGCTGAAGCCAAAAGGGAAGTCTGGCACCAAGATGAACTGATGCTGGAACATATTCACGAGGAAGGAAAATTATGGTTGAAGCAAACAGAGAGAGAACGAACCTCTGTGCACCATGTGAAACAGGCTGGTTCCTTTTGACCACACCAGAGTTTTTTACTTCTATATATATATGGAAGTATCCATCAATAAAACCTTCACACAAAAAAAGAATTCTAAATCTGAAAAATATGCTCCATTTATGCTTTGAGGTAAGTTCTCCAAGATTCAAACTAATCTCTTAAACAACATGATAAAAAAAATTGTTACACAATTTAGGGTTTGTTTATCCCTGAATTCCCTCTGTATTCAACAGTGTTTTAAAAATGTAACAACTGGTTTAAATATTTTTAATAGGGCCATTAAACTATAAGGAAATTGATGTGTAGGAGGTACAAGGCCAACTTTTCTCATACAAGTGGAAAAAAATTACCCCTCTTGACAGGTGGTAATACTTACAAAACTGAAGTCCCTGAATGGCTTGAAAAGTAGTAATATTTGCAGTATAGGAGCAAACAGGTAATAGGAAGAAAAGTAGAGTGGAAAGAAAAAGGTAGGAAAAGAGATAAAAATTAAAGGAAGAGACAAACAAGGTGAAAGAGAATGGGTATCTATTACAGAAAGTATAATTCCCAAGGTATATTGTCCTATGGTTACATAAGCATTTAGTTGTACTGAATCATTGATGTTCTGGCAACATTTATGAAATTTGATTTCTATTTAACACATGTTTCTGCATTCTGCACATATCTCAGTCTCACAATCAGAGCAAATGATATCCATAAATACATGACTGATCAATGTTTGAAGTTGGAATTCTGATGATGTTTGAATTTTTCATTTAAATTCAGAGCCCATCAAGGGATCCCACAAATACCATGCATGGCAGATACTCTCACATTGCTCCTCTTTGATATTATCCCTCACCCCCCCCAAAAAAAAGCCAAAAGTACTTAAAAGTATTAGTTAAGCTTCTAAGAGATGACTTCCTTTCAAGTAGAGCCACTGGGCATTACTAAACTAATCACAAGTCACATGCTAGAAAAAAGTTCAGGCCAGCATTACTGCAATGCTGTCATACTTTGTGCCTCTATTTTAACAGATATTATCTGAACTAAAAACTTTAAATATCTGATTTTTACCCCTCTAGTAGCTGGTACTTCAGAAAACAAGTAGATTCAGACTAATTTTCAGAGTTAAAAAAAAGGAAACATTACTAGACACAACATTATTTCATGTGAACTGCAAGAGTGCAGTCTATGGTTAGTTTGCCAACATTCATCACAGACTTCACCGATTAGACCAGCCTGCTCTTTGCACACTATGAGCTGCAAGAAACAAATAAATATGTGCTTCTCCAATGTTGCAATCATTGCTTCCATATAAAGATAAAGCCAGAACTGTTATTAAAAGCACAAAGAAATGAGAAAGGTGTCACACAACATGAAATATGTGGCGTATTTAAAGCCTGTCTAGTTACCATTTACACTACAAGGAAATCAACAAAAAGAGACCAACAGATAGAATAAGGAATAGAGCAAAGAAATAAAAGATATAGGCAACATTAACAACAGATACTTTGTTTGGTATGTATTCTAGCATGATGACAGCATTTATCTCCTAGAAAATATTACATTTAATTAAAAATCATACAATAAACTAAAACATCCATGGAAAAATTATCTCCTATATCTTTACCCTTCTACTAAAATATGTCCAATGGTATTTTTGGGACAAGAACAGGCTCCTATGCATTGATAATAAAAATCATATTTAAAGCCCCATTGAGGCCAGTTTTCCTAAACAGAAGCACAGATGCCAGGCCGAGATGCTGCATTTGCTTAAATGGTACCTCTTTTGTTTAACCATGACACGTACGCTTTCCCAAGAAGTTGGTTTTAGTTTTTTTATATTGAATATTTGATGGATCAGCAGATACAGGCTTTGTACCCTTGCAGCGTTTTACTCCTAACTAAAAAATGCAAATACAACTGCCTTTATTTTTAATGGATTCCATAATAGTTTACATCTATTCTTTTCTACTATTTCTCCTCTACATGGGATTAATGAGGAAAATAAAAGGATTGTAAAAGATAAAATTCACTTAACTACAAAGAAACCTTTTTCAAGTACACACTGCTAATTGCTGAAAACCACACTGAAACAAGTCTTACCATCAATCTAAGACAAAGTATCTCTACACCAGTTTAACAGATCTTAAAAATGTATCAATAGAGCAATTAGACAAGAATCATCTATTTTGTTAGCATTTATGTTCCCAAATGGTTCTCTTGGCTGCTAAAAAAATGTGTATCATGTGATACTTCCCTACTTACAAAATAAACAACCCAATTTAAACATTCTTAATGAAAAAGCTATTACTAACTATTCTTTTCTAAAACACATTAAAAGCACTCTGTATTCCCCTGATTTTCTTCAGTTATCTGCAATAGAAACATTTTACTTCTACTTTACTTGACAGTAGACAATTCCTAGTCCACTGAAGAAGTTATTTTTACTGTCCAATTACTTCTTGAACAGCAAAGCAGGTTTCCTAATCTGTCAGGAAACAGGAATCTGCTCTATTTTGATTTTAATCCATTGCCATTACACATATGCAGCAGTATATTCTGTGTGTCTGTCCCCCCAAGGTAGTAATCTAGCAGAGGAGTAACTTCTGAGCTCCAAACTGGCATCTAACACTTGTCCTGCTCTCCCCAGCACACAAATCAGACTGAGCTCTGAGGCATCACTCAGCCCAAGGCAATTCTTACTTCCATCACCTCTCCAGAGCACCCTGAGCTGCAACAACTGTTGGTGCCATTCTAGTGGTCAGACAGAAGCATGGAAGCAAGTTCTACCTCAGGGAGAGAAAAACATAATTTCCTGCATCTTTAAGAACCTCCAGGGAAAACGAGGGAGGTGCTTATTTATGCTAAAAAAGTAAATAAAAAGCATTTTGTTTTCCTGACTAGAAGTTGACTGGATGGCCCTAATGAAAGCATGAACTTCATGGCTTTGTTCATCAGATGCACTGCTTTCATCTAAAACATCCAACTAGGACAAAAAAAGGTAGGTTACACCCAGGCCTATGAAAAGATGCAATCATTCTCTCTCAGTGAGTCACCCTGGGTTCTGACTCCTGTGAAAAGTGTTAATTCAGATACAGCAAACAAGCCACATGTCTAACTCAGAGAAAAGTGAGGATATAGATGGATGGACCTAACACAGCTCCTGCATTTGCAAGTATTTAACTTCTTAAAACTACAGCTTAAACTTTGTGAGGCTGCCCTACTCTTCACTCTCTCCAGGCTCCCCTTGTCAAACTTCTGTGCCTCACTAGTTTTATTGCAATGTAAGCGTATCAGGGTACAATTTTCTGTCTTATGGAATATGTTAATGCCAGAGAGAGGATGTGTCTTTCCCAATCTGAATAAAATCAAACAAAGAAAAATCTCAATTTCCATCTTATGGCCAGGTGCAAGGAACTACTTTCCTTGGTTAGTAAATGAAGGGTGTTTGTTTTGACAAACACTAGTTATCTCACTTACTGTTTCACTCATTGAGAAAAAATTTTCCAAGCTACCAAATAATTAGTACCAATGTGAGTCACAGCACAATTTATACTTTCCTGACCTAAGTCATGAACTGGCTTGTTATGGAACATGTAGGAGGAAAAAAAAAAGATTTATCAAACCTCCTTGAATCTTTTTCAAGCTACTAACCAGCAGCAGTTTGCATTCTTTGTTGAATGAATATCTGATTCTGCTCTAAGTGCCCCAAATCTACTATGGAACAAAAATTAATCTTGAGGGCAAAGACAAAGTATCCAAAAAAAAAAGTACATCAAAAGGTAACTGATGATATAAAGCTGTGCCAAGAAACATTATCTTGGAAATTAAAAAAAGCAAAGGCATATCAATGCCAAAGCTAAATTAAATCTAAATGGGAAAAGAAATATTAAAATTGTGAGCTTATTGAAGCAAAGTCACAGAATGAAACCCCACAGGGACTGTAATCCTTGAAAAGACAAACCAGTTTGAAACCAAGAAAGAAGCAGAAACACAACATTAAAAAAAAATACCCAGTCATTTCAAAGCAGATATTTTCAGGATAAAGCTAAGCAAATTATCTTAAGGAAATATATGTAGACTCAGTTCATTAGGAACAAAAATGGAAATGCTGAAAGAGAGCCACAAGATAGGAAAAAGATAGCAAAAAGATTTTGCCAACAGCTTCCACTAAAGAATACAGACTGAGAAACCTACAACAGAAAGAACAGTGTATCATCCCCTGCTTTCCATGTGCCTATCTAAAAGAAGACAGGCAAAGGCATTCGGACAAACACAGTCTAGCTCCCAGATCTGGGAAGCAGCAACATCTGGCTACTGTAATGGCAGACAAGATTACATTCCAACATCTGCCCCTGCAGTTCAGGGAGCTTTGCCAGAATCAAACATAAATTTACAGGTTAGGATGAAAAAATCCAAAACCAGGCTGTGATGTTGCTACTTTTTAAAAACCACTTATTACTAAGCTCAGCTGAAGAACTGAGGCAGGGAACAGATCAATGAACACATCCACTACCGATGCAAAAAAAAATTCAAATAATGTTTCCGATACAACAAAGAGACTATTTGGCAAGACAGCCTTTACTTGATAGAAAAGAACTAGACTCTGCCTTCACAACTAGAAGAACTTGTTATGCAGGCTTTAAACACAGTAGGTGGTAGTAGGGAACTTCCCTTTAAAATGAACTGTTAGAACATACTTTAAATTTTAAACACAAATAGAAAGGATGTATGTGCTTTGTAGCATAACGCTTGTCTTAAATGCTGGCTTATTCAAGGTTCTGAATCTAAACAAACTACACTGCAAGACTATCAAGAGACATTTAATAATAAATAAAACACGAAACTGCAGAAATACATGACTGAGAGTACCCCAGCACAACTGAACAATTACATTCCTGTGTTTCTTGCCAGTCAGTACCTGTTGACGACTGGCACATCTCGGACTTCCCAGCTAAGCTGGGATCATCCAATGCAGCCTCTACCACGACACACTGTCCTCGTTCAGCCACTGCCAGTGATGAACAGGACACACATCCACCCACCCCCCTCACCTGCATTTACACAGACACATTTACCAAGTGCTCCCAGGAGGCCTCGCTCTGCAGGAGGAACCTGCACAGAAAAGGAGAGCAGAGACCGGAGCAACAGCACCTTAAAGGGCAACAGTCCAGGATAAGGAACAGGTAAGAATCACCACCAGAATCAGGCCCCAATTATCCATGGGTGGATTATCCAGTTTGTTTTCTAACTCTGCTGCAGGTGCAGAAGCATTTGAGCTGCTTTCCATCTGATCTAACTTGGGTCCAGCACCAGAAAGTTATATCTGCAGCACACTTGGCAGAGTACATTTATCAGTTTGGATCAGTACCATTTCAGAGAGCAGCACCACTGACCTATTTCACCTCAGTACAATCCTGCAGCTTACTTTTACAAGATTTTATGTTATCCATATTTTGCACTATCCCATTTAATTGTTTTCCAAGATAATAGAGAATTAACTGTACCTCATATAAACTCAAAACATGGCTGCACAAGGTTACTCAAGGAACTCAAGGGATGATAAATTAAGAAATGCAGTGATCCTAGGTAAGGAGAAGCAACATTAAAATCCATAAGTAGAGAATATTAAAACAAGTTATTATACATTTCAAAAATATCCAAAAGTAAAGAAGGAAAAAAAAGGAGAAACAAGGGGGAAAAAAAGGAAAACAAAAGAAAAAAGGTAACTGAAGCAGAGTACGAAGTACACCTCATCAATGGAGTCATTTAATGCCAGACAAAATTGAAGTGCCTGAAATGGCAATTAAACAAACCAGCCTAACAAGGCTCTTCTATTCCTACAATAAGTAAATGTTAGCAGTGACACCCTGATGTTCCTAGGTACTGCACTGAGTAATCACTGTAATAAGTAACAGAGTAAGCTCTAGTTCACACAGACGGATATCCTCAGTAGAAAAAGGATTGATGATATGCCTTGTTTTTCTCCACCATCTATTTAAGTCTTTTGAAATACGATTCAAATGGATTGTGCCACTGTTCCTAAGGGAGATTAAGATATTCATAGTTGCTTTTGAGCTATGAGCAGCAGTAGCTACTCTTTTTGTTAGCTGCATAATTCTGTCCCTTGCTTAATCAAGAGAAGAAAACACATCCTAACAGCAAAGAAAACCATATTGTTGTCTGTATCTAACAATGAATGGGGTGCAAGGAGCGGGGACTTAGCAAAAAAACAAGACAAGGATAACAAATTGTTGTTTGCACTTCCAAAAATCAGGGTTTTTACTCTTTTCCATTAAATATTTTGTTTACTTAATGTCTTGGCAATCATCTTAGCAACTTGCACATACAGGTATTTTCAAATACTGTCACTTTAATTTTCTTCCAGTAGTTATTAAGTATATGCCATTTATTTTACTGGAATTCTTACTCTTGTTCATGTGTTATAAATTGCTAGAGAGATAATTTATAATCAGATGTGTATTTGTCAGTATTTCTCTCCACTAGCTTCACCAGAACTTTCAGCTGGTACATGTTCCTAAAAATGCCCCTATCTGAGTACATTTGTGAGATCTGCTTTTCAATTAAAAATACAGAAAATCTGGTTTGGGAACTTGTTGTTTTACGCCCTCAAGCACTACCCAGGCTGATATCACAAGAATTTTGATGGCTTTATCCAAACACTTACAGGAAATCATAAGGTAATCATCACAGTTGCCCTTCTCATCTTGATGTTCCACAGGGATTCCATTGGCATCGATCACTGCCTCTGATGCACAATCTGCCACCAAGACTTCCTCAGAAACAACATCTGTTCCCAGAGTATCGGTGACAATATCTGCTTCTTCAACATTATCATGAACTACATGTTCAACGTGTCCAACTTCAGGGACATGCATTGACTCGCTTGTCAGCACATGTTCTGGTATAGACATTGTTTCTGCTGTTATGTCAGAAGCTAAAACATCATCTGGGACAGTGCAATGAGCCAAAGAAACCTCTTCGGCTACGTCTGTGTCCAGCACTTGTTCAGGAATAATGACAGTTTCAGACACATCTGGCTCCTCCATGATATCTGGGCACTGAACATCCTCGATGACAACATCCTCAATGACATCCTGGATTACTACAGAGTCTGGATCATCGGGAACAAAATTATGCACGGTTATATCTGAGTCGACTACATCTGAAACAAATACTGTTTCCTGTACTTCCACAACAATCTGATCTCCATCCATATGTGCTGCATCAGCTCCTGAAAAACATAATTAAAATAGCAGTTAAGTTGAAAAATTGTCTCAAATGAGGTGGTTAATAACTGAAATTACTTCTGTTTCATTTCAACTTTTACACTATATTGCAATTTAGTAAAACAGGCATGATAGCATGTGAGCAATTAAGATAGGCAGACACATGAGATAAGTTAAGTAAAAAGTAGATGCTAACATAACTAAGATGAACAAGGTTTTCTCTCCTGGAAAAGATCTGCAATTTTTAGACTCTCCCCCAATACCCAAACAACTACTACTTGAGTGAAAGAACAGTAGCTCATTCAGATTGCTCCGAGTAATAAAAACAACTATACAAAAGCATTGATGCAGCACAGCACTTTTAAGCAAAGACAAAATAAACAAGTCAATTGCATCTAATTCGAACACTCTTATCTACATATTATCTCCTGACAGACCTGTTGGATCAAAAAATGCATTTGGCTCATGTGGCTGCAATTCAAGCCCATCTTCATCCATGGCCTTTAACTCTCATCAGTCAGAGTGTCTGTAGAAGGTAAAGAAAAAAGGTTATTTAACTTGCATTAGGCAAAGAAAGTTGCCTCTCCCTGTGCACTGAAATGCTGAAATTCTGGGTGCATGAAAGTTAACATACAGCACCTCATGACTTTCAGATGAACTAGACTTCACTCAGGGTCCCTCTGTTTGAGATTCCAGCAATACTACTCCAAACACCCTGGGGCTGAATAAGAGGAGTGTAAGATCCAACACTGTGTCCATTTCTCAAAACCCCACAGCTTCACAAACACAGAAGCAGCTCATAACAAAATGTGAAAATATGATTTCCTTTTTATCTTATAAAGAAAAAAGAAATTAAGACAAAGCCTAGACAAGTTCATACTCAAATCCTTGCTGGATGCTGGGAAATACAGCATTGGCAAATCAATAAGGCTCAGTAAGGTAAGCTAAACACAGACAGCTAATAATCCGAAATGAACATTGGTTTTGATGTCTCCATGTTCACACTTGGGCAATTGGGAGGAATTCACTCTAATGTCACTTCAGGAATTGAAATCATCAACGTAAATGGCTTCCAGAGCATAACATCATATGTTTTCAAACCCAGATCTGTGAATATTTTCAAAACTCCTGCCCAAAGATTAAGTACCTATTTGCAGTTGTATTCAAAAGTATCACCAATTCTCAAAAGTTTCTAAATGTCATGTTCTACCAAGTTTTTTGAACGAAATGTCAACATTTCTTCAATGTATAATTACTTATTTCAGTCTTCTTAATAAAAGAACCAAACAAGACCACTAAGTTGAAATACTTACTAAAATGTGAAACTACAATTTAAATTTTGCTGCTTACTTATCTGCATTATAATTAGGATCAGGCAAACCTAGTTAGGTAAAATACAATCTAACATAAACTTGTGCTACTCCTTTGCACTGAGTCCAACCAGTTTTCTAAGTGTGGAACCAGCAAGAGCCAACAGAATGTTCCTGCATGTTTCTGGACAACTGGAAGATGCAATTTTCCTTCCTCCAAACATTTTTCACAGTGACAGGCAAAAGTCATGCCATTTTTGTGATATTATCATAAAAGACAGAGAAAACATTAAGATTCTACACATTCTTTCCATAAGAATCATAACTTTTCCAAATTACATCAACTACATTTACATTCATTAAGTCTCTATAGGGAAACTGCTATCCAAAGGAAAAAATTAACTAGTTCAAAACACAAACATAAAACCATAATCTACAGCAAGTATTTTCTAAACTTCCCATTTCTTAACTCAAATTTTCTCAACTCTTCATCTCTGGAACTCTCCCTTGGGGTGTTGTCCAGACTCTGGTGCAGTCACACAGGCCTTGTCTCTTACACAAACTCAGGGAGAAATATAGCCAGACACTGAGCTGGAGGAAAAGCAGAGGTGGACTAAAAATATTCCAAGGGATCCCATATTTGTGTGATGCTCAGCTGGAAGGTCTCTATATTTTAAAGACAGCTATGCTAACAAATCGTTGTTGTATCCAGCTGGACGTATATCACCTCCCAATAATTGTGACTGTCAAGCATTTCTGTCAGAAGCGCCCACTATTAACAGGAACAACTCCTTACATGGGTACTTTTTTTCAGAATCAAGAGCAAAAGAAAAATGCTTCTTAGCCTCAGATGCAAGAAATAGCTGGACTGATGGCAATCAACCTCTGCCATGCCACAGAACCAAGAAGAGAATAACAAGGCTCCATACAGTCATTTAAGCAAGATTTATACCCTCATTGGTTTCCTTCCATCTATTCAGTATACCCCCAGCCAGTCTACTATGAATGTCCTTCCTATTCATCTTGTCATATTTCCTGTGTTGCCTTCACTGTTTAGTTTCTTCTTTTCTGTTGCTTCTTTTCCAATTTCTCATAGGCCTTCAACTATATTATGTTCTTTACCTGCTAATTTCATCCCGCCAGCTTCTAACTAAAGCACACTCCCATCATGCACACAAACCTTTGCTACTCATCAATTTGTAGCCAAGATTGTATCAGCAATTGGAAGATTTTTTTTTTTTTTTGCAGGAGGCAGAGGGGACTAAGGGTTGGCTGAAATAAACTTGCCTCTCTCCTCAGGCAACACATACATAAGAAGATGGAACCCTCTGTCCGGCTCTCTGGAAAAAGTCAAGAAATCCTTTGTGTCTGTGCTTTTTAGGACTGCATTATCACACATTTTAGCCTCTGATCAGCTGTGACCCAACCAGCCTGAGGAGTCAGTTCACCACTGGCTACTGGAAGAACTGGCATTCATTTTCTCCGCTTCCTGCTTTCACCACCCACCTGACAATCACTCCACCACAAATTCCTGCTTCTCATGATTCATGCATGTACTTTCTCTATTCCATCCTCTCCCCAGATTCCTCACTGTCTCTGTAAGAGAGGCACTCCTTCACTGTCCTTCTGTCTATCCTCTTCACCCAGGAGACAAGGAAGCTTCCACCACTACTTCCCAGCTTCCTAAATGTGCCCACTGACACCATCTCTTCCCTGCCACTCCTGCTGCTGCCTGGTGGTGTTCAGGATGGTGCAGTTTCACCAGCAGTGACAGCACAGCAGACCCTTCACCTGCATACTGTGTAACTCTGGGACCTCTTCAGTACCAGCCAGGTCTTCTCACCTACAGGGGCACAACGTGCTCAAAACACAGGCTCTGCCTCCACACAAACTGAAGGTGCCTCCTGGGCACATGGACTTTCAAGTCTGAGTCCTAAAAAGGCCACAAACGTCTGCTTTGGTGCTTTCTCCAAAGAAGAAGAAAAAACTTCAATGTTTTCACTCAGTGAGTCTCTCGTTAAATAAGGTTTCTCATAATGTGCTTTTGCACCCAGACCCAGCCAAGAAATTAATGTACACAAATTCTTACCCCTGTGCTGGACCATAAAGACTTTAAAAGTGCTCCATAAGGGCACAGGCTCCACACCCACAGAAATTTGCTGCAGGAAGAGAACCAGAAGAGGATGCAGGCACTTAAAACAAGAATTAACTAAACTATCTAAAATAATAAAGGTGCCCAAATGAAAATCTGTAGTCCAAAAAGCATAAAATAATTTGTCCATGGTTGAGGTAAAAAAAAAACCACAGAAAAAAAATCCTGAAATCACTTCAGGGTTGGAGCATTCTAACCAGGAGATGATAAAATACTATTTCTTCCTGCTTGCTCTCCTTCTGACCAGAGGGTGAGCACAGGGGCACAAGATGCATCCACACAAAGGAAGGAATACCAACTGCACCTCTGTGACACAAAAAATACCAGGGCTGCTTCTTGCAAGCACCACAGCAATGAACATCTTCAAATTCCTTGGCAAGCACCCTAAGCTCTGTGGTTAAGGCTAAGAAGCAATTTCAGCAGTTCATTCTCCTGAAAGATTTCAAGAAGGATGGAAACTCCTCTCAGTTCTTTCAAAACATTCTATCTGACACTTACCTCAGGAGCAGTTTCTGGAATCGAAGTCAACAGAATCAATTTTTCAGTTCAGTTTGGGAACCCAAACTCTCAAAGAAAAGCAGGTGCCCAGCCATGTCCCTACACTTAGTCCTTCTCAGCTGTGTATCTTTCTTCAAATCTCAGTAACTCTGGAAATGCTCTTCTACCACTTCAGCCAAAAAAGCCAAGGCATCCAGAATCAGGTTTTATACCTCTGCATCTTTTACTTTGTTTGGGTCCATGCCAGCTTCACATTGATCGAGAATTAATACAACTCTGAAATGCACTTAATTCTGTCCATAAAGTTATTTTTTACCAACTGATTTTTACCTGTTTACTCAGAGACTTGGCTGGTCTTGGCATTATGGAAGTCAAGGCAACATTTTCAAGTGGAAGGGCAGATGGAAAATTACATATTAATGGCAGAAATTGTATTAATATATTAGCAATAAAATAACCTTCCGAAATAAAAATGATCATGAGAACAATCAGTCAAGAAAAGCAATGCAGACAGTGCACTAGTCTTGCCCCACTACAGATCCTTGACTCAACAAATCTAGCATGGTACTGAAGATAAAATAAAAAGAAACAGACGAGCTGACAGGTTTTGAAGAGGGAGCAACTTTAAAAATAGAGTTCCTTAGAAGAAAGAGCTTTAATATTCCACAGAAACTGTCAGTTTCTCTTCTCTGACAGAAAAATAAAAAAAGGAAAATGGGGAAAAAGGAAAAAGAGAAAAAGGGGAAACTTCAAAAAAGCCATCCTTATAAAAAAGAAATACATAAGATAGTTCTTTGCCTAGTCCTAATTTGCAATAAGGCCACAAACCAGATATCCACGCAGCAAAACCCTGACCCTTCCCAGAGAAATCAAGGCATAAACAGCAGAATTCCCCACGTGCAAGTGCTGGCCCCTACCCACGCTGGGATGACTTAGTGTACAGCCATAACCACGCTCCCGTCGTGCCTTGCTACATCCCATTAAAAACTGCGGCACGCCTGGCATGTCCCAATCGGGTCAGAGCCCCGAGACACCCGGGGCTCCCCGGCAGCTCCGGGCTCAGTCTGCTGCAGTGCCACAGCTCTCCTCAGGTGACCCACTGGTGGGCAGTGCAGGGCACACACACACACACACACACACACACACACGCTCTCAGTCGCGCACACACCAAAGGCGAAAAAATTACACTCCTACAGCGTCTAATTCCTGTCTCGAAAATAACCCCCGTTGTTATTATTAGGTGCATAAATGGAAGAATAAAAACCATGTTACACATGTGACAGTGTGATCATTCGGCTGTTTATTTCTTGATGCATCCGCCTCAGTTTTGGCAGGAGGATAAGTGCTGTTTTCACTGCAATTCCGTAAAAAAAAAAAAAAAAAAGAGAGACAGCTAACTCAAATCTTTTCCCTCTTTGTTGCAGTTCAGTGGTGAGGCATTTGCAGATACTGGCTAAAGGAATAGGTTTTATCCAGGTTTCGTAGCGATGTTGTGCGTCATATTCTTAATGAATCCTATCCTAAATTAGGGAAATAATCGATCCCAGGCGCATCTCTTGAACCAGCACCAAGGGGGATCTCAAGG